TTTCACATTTCCAATGATTCTTAAACCATTAAACAGCTATTGCCATATCGTCTCAGGAGAATCACTTCAATCCGTTTCCTTGTTTTTCACGGTCGATTTATCTCAAATGAGTTTGACAAACATTAATTCTTCATGGCTGCGTTAGCAGCATCATTCCTGCAGTAACCTATATGACAACAGCTGCTTATCATTGGTATAAACACAGCATGTCAGGCTTACAGTATTTGGTCAAGCTCCAATAATCCAGCGTCTGTTTAATGTGTTTGTAAAAAGCTTTGTTGTTAAATTGAAAAAACTTAAATTCAACTTTAAATATCTGATAAATGAATTCCATATTCACATAATATGTACTGAAAAAACAAACAGCATTGTGAATAACTGCCCAACTGCCAAATAAAACCCTGTTTGGTTTCAAAATGTGTAGGCTGTATTAACATCTCAGCAACCAGGGTTATGAGCAACACAGAGTTGGACATAAACCCTGCTGAAGGCCACAAACGGAATAAACAGAAAGTTTGGGTCACAGACAGGATTACGGTTTAGAAATATTATCCTGAAACTACGTTTGGTGTTTAAAAAAAAGCAACCCTGAAGACATGAGTTTTCTAAAGAAACTCAAACACATCAAAATCCACATCTCCCCTTTGGGAGCTGAAAGCTGACAGCATTGCTGCATAGATTAAAGGTTTCAGTATGCCGGAATAAAATAACTTGACTTTTGGACTGTTGGTCAGACCAAATAAGCTAATGGCTTTAAGAAAGTGATCATGCGAGTGTTCCAGTTCAATATCACATTTGAACCAAACAAGACCACACCTGTATACAACTGGCAGTGACCAAATGATCCCTATCCAGATCAAACCAGTGATAAAGGTAAGGGGAAAACCCAAATACACAAACACATGAAGTAAAGAAAACTGTTTAAACTTTGGCAGAAAGGTCTGTGTTCATGTCAGATCCCAGGGTTCATAGTAAGAAATTGAGTGAGAAAATAAGTTTTCAGGGCCTTTCATGCAGAACAACTAAGTTGGCAATAAGTTACACCTCTGCACTCCATATCATAAAAAACACAGTAAAAACATTGATTTCATAGTTTAGCAGATTGTATCTCATACATTTCAAATGAAGCACAAACGTAAATAAATAAATTAAAACCATCAAACATACCCCTCCTTAAACCTTTTGATATGCTTTGAGTGTTGTGTTGTTCTGCTTCAACCCTAACACACTTGCAGGACACAATGTTTCCTGCAGCTCTCAGAGGGAACACCCGCAGAGAGAGCCCATCATGAGGCCATTTTGGCATTCATGAGCATGATTGATGACACAAAGATGGAGGCAGAGTTTGAAAAATCCCCTCTGCCGCGGGAAAAGTGATGATTGTTTCGATTCTTCTCCCCTGATAGTGCCCCCCCGCTTCTCAGTAGGACGCATTCACATTACATTATAAAGCCGAATGCGGCCACAAATGCTAAGGCTACCATGCACAAACTCAATCCCAAAAGTCCAATTATCTAATATACTACCACAAATATTTTTATGTTTGCAAAGTGAAATGTAAAAGCATAAAAACACCATATACCCACCAAAAGCTCTCAGGACTTACACCCATATCAATCTCCACGTGTGGGACTGACAGGAAGGTCACAATGATCTGGCGATACATCACAGCAATACCAGCGTATGCTGCGGGGGCTAACAAAGTCACCTGGCCATTTCCTCTGGAGGCACTCCCATTTAGTCCTTTTTAATCCTCTCCATCCCATTACATGACAGTAGAGAACCTGCGCACATTACACGCTTCAGCAGAGATCATTTGCCTCGTGGTGCAGGCAGCGAAGTATCACATAAAATATCAGCACCGTTATTTCTGTCCCGTCTCCATCTCCTGGCTGGGAGTAAACAGAGCTGGACGTCAAATGATAGCATAGAATATGACATGCTAAGAAGTTCCATTGAATCCAGCAGTCTGCTGTATGACTCACTTTCCATATCTTCCCAACTTGTCTCAGACGTTGAGTGGAAACTGAGACAGCAGGGGCAAGACTGAGTGCAGGTCTGATCTTTAACCAGAGCCATGAAGAAGTAGATTTAAAAGGCTAGGATTTTATGTATTTGTTGAATTAAATAGATACAAATGAAGTCAGCTGTGGAGAGGGAGATGCTCTGGGCATTTTTTAATGTGCAAACATTCAAAGACTTTCAGAGCAATCCACAACTTCATGCTCCCGTGGTTTAAAATGCCTTCACCACCTAGCTGTTGACAGCCTCCAGCCTGGCCTGGTCAGCAGGCAGAGGCATCGCCTAAGTCTTGTAGAATTACTGTACCAACTGAGCCTTTAGGCTTTGGATCATAACAACGTTTCTGTCAATAACACTGACTCCACTGCTGTCATTCCACCTGACCTGATTCCTTCTGTCTGACCGAACACAACAGCAAAAATCTGGGATTCTAAGCTTTTCATAAAAAACATACTGTAGCAGTGGTTGAGCATTTTAAGTGGTGCTGAAAACAATACTCCTGCAGTAATACCCTGCTGTTATTTCTCTAGTATATTTGTAGTTGTAGTTGTAAAGTGTTGGCCAAAAGGCATAGAGTATAATCATAATGTGAAAGGCAACAACCAACATAAATGGGATTAGGAAATCAACAGTCGTCTGATTAACTTTTAACAGATAAAGCAGATTAAAAAAAATGTGGCATATATGTAACTTTGAAAATTTGAGTTTTTGATCTCATTTTCATGTCTAACATGGTCTTGATGGCCTCTTACATCAAAAGCAGCGAGAGCACATACATCTGTCTGTCACTGCAATATGATGTTGAAGGCTCTGCAGATCAGATAATGACAGTGATTTTAAGGAATCAAACAGCAAAGAGCAGTAATTTAACATGAATGTACAGTATGTAGAAGCATCATTTGTAGATGTGGACCAGTAACATGAAGGTTGATGTTTTAAATCATCAGTGCTTAAACAGAGTGTGATGGCAGCTGTAAGGCCGACAGAAAAAATAAGCTATAGGGAAAGTTTTAAAAGCCACTCTACACACAGACCAACTAATCCACAAGTGCTGAATATTAACTCCAAAGTAATCACTGAAGATATTCCTCATCTGCCACATGGGCGCTCTTAACCCCTTCAGTGCCAATTCCTAAACAGCTACTATTATAAACCTGCTGTATGAAAATAATGAATGATGAATATAAAGCCTGTACAAATTTGTGTGTCCATGTCGTGCTGTGCCCAAATCCCAAACAAGGATAACATAATGTTTGATAATCTTTTTCGTCCTTCATAGATCCTTTAACTATACAGTAATTCCTTCATTGTAAACGTAAGTGCACTTTACTGAGTGCATTCTAATTAGAGAAACTACATACTAATAATTCAATGACGACTCAAAGCAGGCACGTTCCAAAAAAATACTGTTAAATGTAAGCTTATTTTTAGGATATACTTTTAGATTTTTTTTAATTAACTTTTAATAATAATAGTATTTCCACTTTTACTTTAGTCAAGATCTGGCGTAGCTCGAACGTTGTTTGCATGAGTGAGAGGCAGTACGTTAAAGCCTGAAGGACATGCCCATCACTGTGTGAATTTGCTGAGCTGTTGATAATGCGTTGTCTCTCCAGCAGACATGTAAGGTTATGACTCATTCAAAGACCAGATCAAAAGACGTTTATTCAGGGTGACATCATAGGGAGATGAGAGAGATTGAATTTTTCCCTCATTTGGGAGATTAGTTGTGATGTCAGAGACATGGATCCAAAGGATTTAATCAGTTAGTTATTCAGCCCATCCTGAACAGGTGTGCCTGTTATCAAATATGCAGCCCTTTACTTGTGCCAGATTTCCTGCTTTATAGAGAATCATTGGCCCTGGAGCATAACAATGATGACCTGGAGAGACAACTCAGCTGGGGTAATAAAAAGAAAATACACCCATTAATCCTAATTAATTTTCCTTAGATGCACACATATCCACATAATATGCCAAGTATGTGAAATCACAGATATTAACTCTTGTAAAATGATATACAAATTCTAAAATTCAAAATCTAATATTATTGACTCCTTTTTAATGTATTTATTGATTTTATTAAAAAATGATCCAAACTGCTAAAACAGAATGTATTTATATCCACTAACAGAATATACAGATGTTCCCAAGAGCCAATAGGCAATCAAACTAAACATTATTAAACCTGTATTATATGCAGACGGGCCTAAATGTGTCAATCATTCATTAAGGCGTTTAAAATAATTGCTCCAAAGGGTAATGGCTTAAATTATGTAGAATGACTCGCATGAGAGATTACGGACTGCTGCTAAAGCGCTGCAGAAACCAGCAGTCCCCCCCCCGCTTTAATTTTCGCAGGACAAGAGTTCATCTGCAGAGTTGACCATTCATTATCTTTGCTTGGTTAGCGCAGTCGGAGACCTCTACTGGGCACACGCAGACAGATCATACCACAGCCGCCTTGATGGCCGGCTGATAGGATATTGTTATCGCAGCAGGAATATATGATCAGTAAAGCAGCTCACAGATGGCCCCAGGTTGTGTGTTCGGTTCTAAATGAGGTCTTTTTTCTGTCACTTCACTGAGGCTGAGGGATGCAGGAGACTGCTCATCCACTCAGGCCAATTAGGACTATATTTTGGCGCTCTAATTGAGTACCTATATCTTTTGTGGGCGGTTTAAAAATTAGAGTTAGACTTACTGCAACTTAGTGAGTGACAGGTGGTTGAGGTACTGTATTTACCCTTTAGACTGATGCGGACGCAGGCTACCCCTGCAGCCTTTCAAAGACCTACACCAACAGGAATGACTTTGCATCGTAAATGAGTTGCAATGGGATATATTTTTTGTTTTACTTTTCCATTCGAGTTTAACATCAAATACAGACGTTTTCATTCCACAAAAGCCTGTTCCTGAGGGTATTTATAAACAGCCTGTTTGGCAGGTCGTGAGCCTACCTGATGGGTCAACCTTACCTGGGATCTCCTGAAGAGGAACATGTGCGAAGCTGAAGCCTTTCCCGACACAAGCCTCTCTCACCTCGCTGCAATTCCGTGCCTTAAAATCTGCTCTTGCTGCAAAAGACAGCACAGAAAAAGTGCAAATGATAGTCTGTAGTCTGAGCATTGTTCACTTCTGTGAAGATCCTTATTGTTTAAGGTGATCTGCAGTATCCCGCTTGCCGGTAAAAAAAAAAACTCCCCTGCAGTAGATCCGCAGGTACTTAATGACTGGGCGTTTAATGGTTGCAACTCAACTATTAGTGTCTACAAACACATTCCACAAAGCAAAACGGGTTTTCTATCGCAACCGACAGTGGTTAAAAGTCCTCCCGGCGCAGCAGAAAAGAGGACTGCGAACATGGAGGTGCCACATGAATCCAGGCGGTGCGTTTCCCGGCGCGTTGACTCAACTTCGCTCAGAAGCATGAAGCAGTCTGGTCGCTGTGTTGAAGTAGAAATGCTGTGTGGAGGGGAGCGCTCCGTGTTCACATTAGATATACTGGCAAGGCAAAGCGGGACACAAAATATGGAGTGGAATCCAGCCTCATCCATTTCACTGTCGGACTGCTGGTCGGCACCGACCAATACAGATGTAGATACATAACCCACAATGCATAGGTAGGGAGGTAAAGTGGACAAATTGGATGCAATGGAAAAGATCAGTCAGGGTTTGAAAGAAGTAATTTCTGTGAATTTGGAATTCACTTCCAACAATTAAATACATCTCTTAATTGGTATAGGACTATTTGGGGATGATTAGGGATTCAGTGATGTGAACTAGAAAATATACATATCATAAATGTATTATAGATGCATTCCAGTTGTTTTTAATATAACATTTGAGTTGCTTTTAATAGTAGGCCACTGTATATTTCAATACTTTATCGAATGTAAATGTGGTTGATTTGCTCCTTTTTTTTTCTTTAACTATAGGCCTACTTTAATGTTCCAGTGATGGGGATTATTTTTTTTTACTGAATTCAGAAAATGTACAATGCTGGCAGTTTTTTTTCTCATCACATTCATCTGACACCAAAGCGAAAGACCAGTAGCACGGTATCAAACTGTATTAACTAAAGGATGTAAAGGATGTAATGAAGACCAGAAGGCAAGCTTTCATGACTTTATTGATTTTGGAACAGCTTGATCCGAGGGTAGATCAACAGTGGATTAACATGGCTGCCATAGCTGTGCAAAGGATTCCTATTGGTATGGGATACCACATTTTGAAAGGTACTTTAAAGGGGTTGGCTTGTTTCAGAGGGTGACACTGCACTGGGAAATGTTGGATAAGGTTGAAATAGTTGGACAGGTTCTCCTTTTGTGTGGTGAGAGGTCAATATTGCATTGCTTTTGAAAAGTCAGTCATTTTTGTTCAAATATTTTAAGATACTTTGCAATACTATACTATACTATATGTATGTCCATGTTGGTTCAAGGTGCATTATGTTCTTTGGTCACAAGAGCAGGTTTGAATCTCCTCCTTACCCAAAACACATATAAATAGTGGAAAACAATTGCTGGCATTGTAAGCTTTGGTAGATGGCATAGTCATAACAAATTCAGAAAGACACAGATTTTCACTCCCATGTGTATCTGTCTCAGATGAGTGCATGTGCATGGCATCATTGCAAATATTGAAAATAAACTAGTTGAATACTATTTTACTCAAATTTAGTCTCACATGCTGACAGTGGTTAGCCATACAGCTCCCTTCATGAATTCTCCGCTCTAATTTTATAGTGAGACTTTTTGACCTGGACAAGTCACAGTTAATTAATGTATCCAACTTTGAAACTCAAGGGACGGTTTCATCCTGTGAACATTTTTAATACAATGAAAAATTAATTTCATGGGAAATTCTGAGCTAAGATAGCTGTCAAGTTCCTAGTAAAGCACTGCAGGAAGGGTGTCTGTATGTATGTGTGTGTGCAGGCATATGGCCTGCCTTCAGGGCTGCCTGTGCACGCTGTTTCTAATATAATGTATGTATTTCATTTCATTTCTGATATGGGTTGCCAAGACATGTTTTTCCCAAGCTCTTTTGGGATTTACAGGCACTCCCAGACCAACTGAGATGTAGTCCCCCCCTGTGTGCTCTGGGTTTATCTTGGGGTCTCCCGCCAGCTGGTCAGTATTCCTCCAAAGGAAAGTTAAAACTCAAGTGCAGTTACAAGGCAGGGCACTGAGGGTGCACTAAATTGAGTTTTATTATCTTGGTAAAACCACAAAAGCTGCAGCCATTAAGGTCACTAGACTATAATTTTGGTAATCAAAGCAACAAACAGGATAGAATTATACTCCAAACTGTCACACTTTAACAGTACCTCATAACACAAAACACATTGTCAGGCAAAGGCCCACCAGGAAAGATACTGAAGACTTAGCAACCAAGAGAAATAACTCATATAACCACTTAAGTAGGTGGATCCAATAATTAAATCAGTCATTGTCTGGCTACTTCCAGCTGGCATTTACTATTAACTGTGAGTGAGTGCCTGACAGTTCCTGTGCAACTGATGTCTGCATAATCAGGACCTTGGAGAGCGCCACACCCGTACCAGGTACATCTCAGAGGGAGTGCAACCACCTGTGGAGAGTCCTTGTTAGGCTGATTGTATTTGCAACCTTATACTTTTGGTCACCAGCCAAAGCTCGTTGGGGTCATAAGCAAGATAAAATGAAAAATAAAGTGGTTTGATCTCCACGTGATCCAGCATGCGTTACTGCAGTTGAGACTCCTAACTGTTAAACATTCAGGATGAGTCAGCAGATGATCAGCCTTCCATATAATATTGGTGTGTGATGATGATGGCTGGATTTATGACCAATGGTTATATGTAATGTGCTGATGTAGATTGTTCTATGTCAGCTTATGTGGAGGGTTTTTTATCACATGTTTTACATTCTTTTGTGATATGTTTTATGTATTTTATTATGTTTTATATTCAGGTCAGTGTATGGTGTTGGCTGCAAGTCAAATGTCCCCTTGGAGACAATAAAGTTGCCCATTTTTCCTCAACCTGTAAGAGCCAAAATGTAAACAACAGTTAAATTTGTCATGTGTATTGTAGTATTGTATCTCTGTGTTGACTTACTATAGTAATCCTGTTTATTATTGTGTTTTATTAGTAGTGAGTTACTCTGTACGTTGTATTGGCTAGATAAGAACAACAAAATAACTCACGATTATTTAGTTAAGAAGGTGGAACAAGTTTTGAAGACTGGAGAGTGTCCTTGGGTAAGATAGATTTATGTTTTTGGATGGAAATTGAAACTTGATATGGAGAATGTTGACGTCAAACCCAGGTTACCTGCTTTCTGCCCCTCTTCTGAGTCATGACACCCGAAACAACAAAATTACTGAATATGAGTCAACGTTTTCTACTTGACTGCCATCCTAATGAGCATTGATTCACCCTTACCTAACGTTACTGAATGTCTGTATGTGGGAAAGCTGTTCACTCCTCATATAGATGAGAAATTCGGAAAATGTTTATTCATGGCAGTAACCAAGGTGTCAGACTTGGAGGTGAGGAGATCCAAGAGCTGATTCCATGATGTAATGAAACCAGAAGGATAATGTAATGACAATATATCTGCAAAAACCCGACTGACTCAAGAAAATGAAAGCAGCCCTCTCTCAATGTATGGGGTATCTCACAATATTGTCTCTTCACTAAATATCCCAATACATGTAGAAAGTCAGAAAATCCCTGTGATCTCTTAATTTCAAGTAAAAACACTGATTATTGTTCTAAAATCTAATATTACTCTTGAATTGAAAATCTCCTAGCTTGGCTTTGGTTTCACCAGGGAGGATGTGTAGTGTAATTCCTCCGTCAGTGTGTGCAAACAAATCAGCAATGCTGCAATTTTTTGTCTCATGATCATGTTTGGGCATTTCACAAGCGTTCACCAAACTCCTTCGTGATATGAGTCAGCTTGCCAGCAAATCAGCTGATGGTTCAGTTTCACCCACTACCCAAAAAGGCCAATAAATATAGCTGCAGGTCTGATAAAATAAAACATTAAACTGAACAACAGCCTGGTTACAATATATTACATAGTGTTAGTTTTTATGAGTCAGACAAAAGACCAATCACAGCTTTACAACCACGTGTATCTATGTGTTATGGAAGTAACTGATTAGTTATCTTTGTACAGATGACAACACTGTAATACACTCCTTATTACTGTGGTTAGCTGAGTTTATTATATATTTATGTTAAGGAGCCACTAATAATCTGAGTAACTGAGCCGCTGCCAATCAAAATGTCCGTGCATGTCCCTGGAGTTAACCCTATAGCTGAGACTTTTTTTCCTTGCAATCCTTTCCATTGCTATTGTCAAAATAAAAGACATACTTGAATCAACGATAACGAATCTAAACAACCAAAAGACATATATTCAATTATTTACTTCAAGGGCCAGTCTTCTTTACATACCAATATAATTTATAATTATGAACAGTAATCAGAGCAAAGCTGTCCAAGATGTTTATGTAGGTTACTTATAGGACTATCATCATTAATAATCATGGATTTGTGCTATATATTGTATGATTAATAAGACTCCCTCTTCACAGTACATTTCAAAGTCATACTTTCCCCTCAGCTTTCAGTTTCATGTAATCTTCGTGTCATGGTGCTACCATAGGCTATAGTCTTGTGGCATGTTTTTTGTAAATATTCAGATAAATATGTATTATCAGCATTTCATGTGCAAGGATGGTTTCACAGAGAAAGACACAGCACTTTGTAGTGTAGCTGGAAGCAAAAAAGTTTGCTTCTAGCCTAGAGAGTCAGGGTGGGGCAAACAATCTGTATCATAATATTTGGTGACAGAGTTTGTTGCAATATGTATCTCTCACACAGACACCATTACTGAGACATGTTCTGTTGTAATACTGAGGCAGAGGTGTTCCTTTCTTCACTGAAGACATTAATCCCTTTGCCAGTGTATCTCTGTATTATGTTAACACTTAAATACACAATTATGGGTTGCTTTAAATGTTTGTTTTAGATTTTGTTGATATCCTGTATGTATCCCATTGACTATTGTGCAGGCTTGGTCCTGTCTACCATTCACTGATTCATTCTACAGTTTTATTTTGTACAATCATGAACAAACATGTTAACTGGATTTACTTCACTGAAAACACTGTAAGGAAGATGTCATATGTATATATATATATATGTACCTTTAAAGCCATTCTTACTTTCTGGCTACTGGCTACTTCCTGCCTACCTTGTAAAAATAATAAAAACGCTTTCTTTTATTTCTAAAGTTCAGTGTACCGACATTCGGTTCTGAACTCTGCAAAACTGCCTTTTCATACAATGCACCATGGCCTTCGGATAATGTACAAGAGCCACTTATATATTAATACAGTGGCTCCTGGGTTTTATGTTTGTTTGCCATTTCAGGGGCATTTTTTCCTCTA